CATACCCGTCCTTTCGGTTGCGGACTTGCGGTTCCTTGTTCCGATCCCGGCGAGAGAAGAATAGAAGAAACTCACCGTGCTAAGACTATTTCCAACGACGTATCTAAGATATAAGACATATTTTATATTTGCGTAGCGTTATAGGTAAATAGTTTGATATTTATTTTTGGTCTTCTCCAATAAAAGGACCTGAAAGAGAACTCTTTCTACAAATAAGTCTTCGGAAGAGAGAATACTCATATTTAGGTTGTGAGTCTGATGCAGCCTAAAATACGTCTCCCATATAGATGCTCCATTGGAGATGGAAACGGTACCATTCAATACTCATTTTGGGTTTGGGTACAAGCTGTCAGAGACGGTCATGGTTTAGGACATCGGAGAAGTGGAAGGAGAGGTCGATCACCGGAGTCGAGAGGAGAGCCGCAGCCGCCCGGGCGGGTAGGGTACCCCCCATCATGACCCATCCATGCCACGCATGTTTGGGGGCCGACGGCGCACCTCAGCAACTGGGAGATCGCCCGGCCGCCCGGGCATTCCATGCAAGTACACATACAGTACAGTAGCGCAGGCTCTCCTTTGCCACGTCGGCGCGACGCGCGGGCTACGCCGATGCTACTCGGTCCGGTCCGCAGTCCACACGTACGAGTACGAGCACGCGCGGCTAGTCGATCGGCACGGCACTGCCAGCGGGACCCAGACGGCCGCGTGGATGCATGGATGAAAGCGACGGAGCGAGCACCAGCACGAGCCGACGAGGACGACCCTGCCTGTCTGGTGGTGGCTCCGGCCGCAGACACACAGCCGCACAGGCAGGCTGCAGCAACTAGGAGCCTCCTCCGATCGATGCATGGGGGACCATGCCCCCCTGGCCCGGGTGGGAGAGAGTAGTCCGTGTTTCTCGCTACGACGTGCATGCATGGGCCAGAGCTATCTGTGCAGTACATCTCTGGTCGGCCACCCAGCGGCTGCGCAGGCCTGCTGATCGATCACTGTGCTCTGCTCTCCTTCCTCGGTCCCAAAAATACACTTATAAAATTGTTTGGAAATAAATACCAATACTAGTAGATTACATTTATACTCCTATCAAAAGGTGTTGGAGTTGGAGCATATAATCATTACATTTGAAAATAGAGAGCGCAAAAAAGGCGTATGTAATTTGAATACTTCCATTTTTTCCCAATAAAAATTGACTATATTTATATACAATATATCAACATCCCTATCTATTATTATGTAATTTATTGCACTATTAATCTAATCATAATTTTTTGTGTCATAAATATTAGTATATTTTCTATATGTTTAGTCAAATTGTTAAAAATTTAAAAGGAAGACGTGGACGACTACTTGCATTCACATGTCTAGTAGACTGTATAGTAGAGTATTATTTTTATATTAGCCGTTGTCATACGTGAAAACAGTACTATACTCCACATGTTCCAAATTATTTGTCGCTTTTGGTTTCCGTGCTGCAAGTTTGACTCGATTTATATAAAATACGTGCAACATTTATATATCTAAATATATTTATTAAAAAAACTAGATTCAAGAATCTTTTCGATGATATCAATTACGTATCATAAATATTAATATTTTTTAATATATATTTTTATCAAAAACGAAAATGACAAGATATTTTGGAACGGAGAGAGAGACTCCTTCCTCCCTAGTCCACCTCCATCGTCTTTCTCTAGTCTAGTAGTAGTACTCGTCCTGTCATCTGTAGGCTCATGGCTCATGGCTCATGGCTCTCCCTCGGCCGGCGGGTAGGGTACACACATGTGGACCAGGTCGAGATAGGCTGTTGCTGTGCGAGCGAGCAGTAGCAGGAGTATCTCGCCTGCTCAAAGCTTTCACGCGCCGCTGTACTGTCACTGTGTCAGAGAGAGAGAGAGAGAGAGAGAGAGAGAGAGAGAGCAGACTAGTAACGTCGCTGTCCGTCAGTACTCACCCGTCCAGTCCTGCTGTGCAAGCCTGCAAGGCCAAAGGCCCGCGATGCAGGCATGCAGCCCTCCCCGGCGCCCCGGGCAGGGAGTGGTCGCACTCTGGCTAACAGGGGAAGAACAACTGAAACCACTGTAGTAGGAGTAGTACGTACGCCGGGACGAGGGACCATTAGGACTAATACCGGCAGCCATCATGGCAGTGGCATATTGACGTACCCACTCCATCATTCGTCTCCGTATTGTACGCGTGCGCCTGCACGACGGCCGTCGTCGTCGTCGTCGACTCGTCGTACTCGTCTGTGGACCCTACCGTCGTCGTCTTTTTCTGTCCTCGTCCACGTGTATGGTGCACGCACGCGTGAACGGAACGAATAATGAGTACTGAGTACTCGGTCACTGCTACGTACTCCGTACGTACTCTAGTGTGCATGCAATGCATCGATCTCGAGAGCAAACCGCACCATGCGTGACATGTACGTCGCAACGTACGCTTGATGATCGAGGCCAATCAGGGAGACAGGTACGTACACACACTTGCTATACCACGTATGGCTACGAGAGCGAGACTGGTGATGATGATCATTGTTATTAAACATAAATAATGGAGCGACGTGTTGTCCAAAAAATAATAATAATAATGGAGCGACCAGCGAATACATACATATACAGACATAGTAATATACTAATATTATAAACAGTGAATGGACAGCGGAAGAGCCGGGGGTCCAACAAGCAGTAGGAAATGAATAAAAAGGTGTGTGCACGAAGGGACCACCCAAACCCATGGATCGGCTTATACATGGACATGGACATGGGTGCTACTGCTAGCTACCACCGGTCGGTCGGTCAATCACAATTTCACAAGGGCCGCGTTTAGTTCCGGCCGGATTCGGCACCATCGAAAACCCACGGCACTGTAGCGCACAGTAGCGTTTCGTTTGTATTTGGTAATAATTGTCCAATCATTGATTAGTTAGGTTCAAAACGTTCGTCTTGTAAAGTACAATCAAACTGTGCAATTAGTTTTTTATTTCGTCAACATTTAGTACTCCATGCATGTACCACAAGTTTAATGTGACAGAAAATCATTTTTTTGTATAATGTCAAATTCAAGAATTTGGGGAACTAAACATGGCCAAGGTGATAGATGAAGTGGAGGCCTGGAGGGAGCTGCTGCGCTGAGCGGTCCTGGTCCCCCGGCAGCGTAGCGTTGGAGGACTCGTGGCCGTGGCACGTACCACTGGGCCACGAACCACCCACTGCGGCCACAGTGCATCGTAAGCTTCCGCTGCGACGCATATGCCATGCCCCGGCGGCCCACAACGCATGGGGGCCCACGGACTCTGACTCGCACAACACCCTTGCTGCCCTGCCCATACCTCCAGATCTGCTTCATGACTTCTCTCTCACGGAGGAAGTATTATTTATATTATCAAAAATCAGCCTCAGCCCGATTCTCTCTCACGGAGTCAGCAGAGGTGTTATGTGCACAAGTGGTTGCCATGGCAGGGGCCGCTGCACCTGCACCGCCGGTCCCATGCATGCAGCTGCAGGTAAGCAGGCGCATTGGCTGCTCAGGCCTCAGGGTCAGGGCTGCTCTGTGCCGCTCTGCCCCGCTCTGCCTCCGCGGGCGGCCGGGTTCGACGCGTCCCATCCACCGGCCGCCGTCCTCCAGTCACATCAGTGCTCCACGCCACCAGGCACCAGCGCCCGGGCGTACGGGGCCCGCAAAAGTCGCCGCCCCGCACCGCCGGCCGACGCGCCAGGCCGAGGGTCCCAAAGACAAAGGACCAGCCAGGCTAAGGCCTGAGGGTCCCAAAGACAAAGGCCCTACTTTACGCACAGTGCCACAACTGCTGCAGGGCAAGCAGCCCAACCAGCCAACCAGGTACCCGAGATGATCTGCCACTGGCAGAAATAGAGCTCCATAATTCAAAAAGGGTCTACAAACACCTGCAGCTTCCAAGTCCAGTCCTCAAACCAAACTGAAAAGAGGCAAATGCAACAGGTCTCAGTGAACGGGCCGTGGCCCAGCAAGCAAGCAACATGCTACTACAGGTTCGAAAGTTCAGCGCGTGTTTAGTAATTCGGTGCTACCGTGCCCATCACATCGAATCTTACAATGCGTGCATAAAACGTTAAATATAGACGAAAAAAAAACTAATTACACAGTTTAGTTAAAAATTACGAGACGAACGTTTTGAGCCTAATTAATCCATGATTAAACACTAATTATCAAATAAAAACGAAAGTGCTACAGTACCCAAATTTCCAAATTCACCCAACTAAACACGCGCTCAGCACCAGCAACAGCTCACTCTGGTTCCTCAAACCTCACTCAAGATTAAAAACATACGTACATAGCACAGACGACAGTGGCAGTCTAGCAGCATGCGCTAATACTAAACACAAATGGAACTTAGCAATACAACATCACCCCCAAAAGGGGGGGTAAGTTTAGTAAGCTCGGTCTGACAAAGGCGTTGGACTGACTGCATGACCATGCTGGAGAGAGGCGGTCATGTGCATATCATATTGTAGCATCCACCGGTCAGTCAGTCACTGCGAACAGGAGATTTGTCGGCGGACCTGGAGCGGGATCCGGGAGGTGAGCCCGAGTACTCCTTGGGGGACCTGCGGTGCGGGGGGGATCCATCGCTGTCTGGTGGGGGCGACCTCCTATCAACATTAATATCATTGTTAGAGACTTTAAGAGCTCTTGCTAGTTGCTAGTACATGATTAGGCTAGTGCTCTACATGTTTTTTTTACATTGCTTTACTCATTTCACAACCCATGCAACGATAGTATTTATCTGTTCTCTAGTATGCGTCGAGTCCTCCAACCCACTTGACTGATGGTTCACCACCAAAATAAAAATTTCCTTGCTACAAGAGCGTTCTAGGGGACTACAACACATAGCTGTGGTTTAAACAGATAAAAGTGAATTTGGAGTCTGCAGCAACACCTGTTAGAAGGATGAATGAAATCACTACTAGTATTTCCTAACCCAGTCATATCAAATGATATTTTGAACAGGTAGCTAGTTTCAGTGACTAGTTGCCAGGTTGGACTATGATGCAACTGATAATACAGTAGAAGGAAGCAAAGGTATAATACACAGTAAGATAAAAGTACTCTCGGTTTATATACATGGACAGATGAAGCCAGATTTATGTGTAGCAATGAATAACTTACTTCTCATAACCATTGTCAGCATCATCTCTACTGGCAGGAGAGTAGGACCTCCGCTTCTTATCTTCATCATGCTCCTTTGGTGGGCGCCTGGGAGGAGATGCACGATGCGCTTCCTTTCTCCTTGGAGAGGCAGAGTAGTCATCTCGCCGCCTTGGAGCAGGAGAGTGTGATCTGCTTTAAAAGAAAAACATAACAGAATTAAAAAAAAAAGTTAAAGGTTCCACAGATCAAAGCTCATGAGCTTTTACAAAAAAGACTTATATCAGCCAAGCATACCTCGACCGAGGACGGCCCTGATAGCGAGGAGAGCGGGAACGGGAACGAGACCGCCCTATATGGAAGATGAGAGGCTATCAGTATTTCGTACCTCAACAAAAGTAAATTGCAGACTTCGATTTTTCACAAGAAAATTTTCATAGTGACTGGAGAGATAATCCTGAGATGCTATTCGTAATTTTGCAAGGTACTTGTGCATGACGCATTTTTTATTTTCAAAAAAGAAGGCTTTATCTAATATGTATGCATCACCTATCAGAAGCAGCAACAGATCTAGAATTTTATTGGTTGGGTGCAGAAATATTGGTCCTCTGTATTACAGCGATGTTTGATAAGGCACTTGATAGCAGTCACGATAGTACCAGAAGAGTAGCAGGCAAAATGTAAAAATGATCTGTTGCCAAATTAATAAGATGCACACAAGAGAAATGGTACATGAAGTCTAAAAGGAAACTAATATGTCCTGACCAATCATGCCCTGTCACATAAAAGCGAGTTAATGTTTTTCATTTTGATGAAGGGGGCTAACCATAGCAGAATAAATTAAACCATTGAAGGCATAAACAGGCTACACAGAAAGCCCTCAAACATTTCCATCTAATTACAAGGCACGGGGCACTGTATTACTGTAGGAAGTCGGAGGCCGTCGATGGACGAATTGGATGGCTGAGGCAATAGATTGGTACTGTAGGACTGTTGCAGCTCAGAAACTAAAAATTTTTCCATCTAATTACAAGGCACGGGGCACTGTATTACTGTAGGAAGTCGGAGACCGTCGATGGACGAATCGGAAGGCTGAGGTTATAGATTGGTACTGTAGGACTGTTGCGGCTCAGAAACTAAAAATTTTTTCCATCTAATTACAAGGCACGGGCACTGTATTACTGTAGGAAGTCAGAGGCTGTCGATGGACGAATCGGACGGCTGAGGCAATAGATTGGTACTGTAGGACTGTTACGGCTCAGAAACTAAAAATTTGATATGATGATATCCAACTTGAGATAATAACCAACCCCTCAGGATTACTGGCAGAAACTTCTAATTTTGATGTGATTGCCCAGGCATCCCCCTTTACATCCACAAGCAGTGACAAAATGGATACACAACGTATAATTGAATAGAAACAGAGGATCCAGGGCAACAGATGTACAGCTTGGACAGCATACTACCATGAATGATACGAAAATACAAATGCAAAATTACCATAGTAAGAAGACCGGCGACCTTCATGACCAGAGTAACCTCTGCACAGCAATCACAAAAAGTCATTTCAAATGAGTACATAATAGGCAAAGAGGCATAAATTTACTACTGCAACAAAAAGGAATACCATACCTGACTCTAGCTCTGCTGCGCATTTCTTCTGGCCTTTTTCGCGACTCAGCAGCAAGAACAACAGCTATTTCCCGACCGAAGAAAACTTGGCGATTCATGTGATACTGGGCTTCAGAGGCATCGTAAGGATCAACAAACTCCACAAAGGCAAATCCTCGAGGCTCCCTGCATATGTTGGTTTTATTAGACAGTATGGCGAATAAAAAAAATCAAGGAAATGACAGACAAATGAGGGTGCAAAGTGTTCACAATGGTGTCTTGTTGGCGTTTTACCATCAAGTTCAAATATTCACTGTGCCCTCTATGGTTCTCGGTGAAGCACAGTAAACAACTTACAAGCATTCCATCAAAAGGGAAGCAAGTGTTGCAAAAAGCAGTAAGGCGCCCAGGCTCTAGTGTCCAAGTTTCTTGTATACAACTACGTAAGGTGATCCTCATAAAGAGCATCTTCGTAAAATCATTCGCTTCAAGTTCCCCAACATTTGTAAAGTCACAAAAGTACTTGAAATTGACTTGACTCTTTTATCTTCTCATGTACCATATATCTCTCATCTTCTCTTCATGAAATTAATTTTCTCAATGTATCAAATCTTGTCTTCATAGAAGAACTTCTTCATCGGACAAGACTCTATCTTGCCAAGCAAATGAATTGTTAGTAATGTTAAAAGGCATTCTTTGACAAACGAAGAGCATGCTTCTACTTCAAACTAACACAACCCTAGGAAACATTTAGAAAATATAATCCACATAGTGCAACGATGAATTGGCTACGAGAAAGCAGAGTACAGGTTTATACTCCATCATGTTGTTAGATAACAATTGATGGTGCAAGTCGATTGCAAAAAACAACATGAGATTCATCAGAGCTTAAGCGCATCAAACACATTGCAAATTGGACGTTGCACTGAAGTTGGAGTATGCACTAGTGTTCACTTTGTTAAATATAGGATGTCTGCTCATATAATTCATGCCTCTAGAAAATTAGTTTGATGATTATGGCAAAAAAAACTAGACAGGTCTCCAGCTATTTCAACAACAACAACAACATAGCCTTTCAGTCCCAAGCAAGTTGAGGTAGGCTAGAGTTGAAACCCACCAAGAGCCCCAAGTCACGATTCAGGCACTTCAATAGCTGCTTTCCAAGTACTTCTATTCAAACATAAATCTCTAGGTATATCCCAAGCTTTCAAATATCTTTTTATTGCCTCCCCCCATGCCAATTTCGGCCTTCTTCCACCTCTCCTCATATTATTAGCTTGGCTTAGGACTCCACAATGCACTGGTGCCTCTGGAGGTCTTCTTTGGACATGGTCAAACCACCTCAACCGATGTTGGACAAGTTTTTCTTCAATTGGTGCTACCTCTAGGCGATCACGCATATCATCGTTCTGAACTCGGTCCATTCTTGTGTGACCACAAATCCATCGCAACATACGCATTTCTGCAACACTCAGTTGTTGAACATGTCGAATCTTTGTAGGCCAACATTCTGCTCCATACAACATAGCCGGTCTAATCGCCGTTCTATTGAACTTGCCTTTTAGCTTTTGTCGTACCATCTTGTCACAGAGAATGCCAGAAGCTTGTCGCCACTTGATCCACCCTGCTTTGATTCTATGGCTAACATCCACATCAATATCTCCATCCCTCTGTAGCATCAATCCCAGATACCGAAAGGTATCCTTCTTAGGCACTACTTGACCTTCCAAACTCACATCTCTCTCCTCCTGTGCAACTCCGCCAAAGTCGGGTCTCCAGCTATTTAGAACTCCAAATATTATAGAAACAGGAAGAGGGATCTTTTTGAGTAATTAAGACATAAGTCACAGAATATGGTGATTTAGTACAGCTTACCCAGAGTAATAGTCCTTTGGAATGTAAACATCCCGGACAGGACCAAACCTTTCAAAAGAAACTCGAAGATCCTCCGCTCTGACAAAGTTTGACATGCAAATAGAAGTCAGCTACTCTAGGAAAGTACCAAAGTAGTATTTGCTTCTTTATTTAAAATGTTATGGTCATAAAAATGGAAATCAGTTTATATTCTTTTAACGGTGGAAGGAAAAAGCACACGGTATTAGTTTCTGTACCTGACGCTTAATGGGATATTGCGGACCAAAAGGCTTCCACTACCCTCTTTGTTGTGTCCTCCATATCCCCTCCTAGGAGGAGGGGGGCTTCTTCCTCTGCCACCATATGCCCTCCTAGGGGGACTACGATAAGGGGGGCTGTACCTCCTCATAGTTTTTCCTGTAATTGCACCAAAACATAACAGATTGTGTTAATAACAGGACAGGCATGGTAAATCAGACATAATTAGTGGACTTATGAGCGGTGTATTGTGACACATTACAAATCATGTCAGCCTGAGCATACAGGCTAGCACATACAAAATCATTCATGAGCACTAAAGTTATGTGTAACAAAACAAAACAAAAGGTGTGTTCATCACCATTTGATGCACAGTTCACCAGATACGCTTGAAAGATGCAAACAACTTTAAAATTCACCGGTGACATGGCATAGAATAGATCAGGCTAATCTTAAATCACAGGATGAGGCAAGCTGCAGATTAGTATTACCACGGAAACTGCATTAATATGCATGCTTATTGTTTCTTTCCGTTCAAACTGAACCAAAATAGACAAAACAGAGGTATGGTCTTTCCAATTATTAAAATTGCGGTTCCAAATAAGAATTGCCATACATTCTAAATCTAAACCTAAAGTAAAACAAAATGAGGAGCGCTACAGATCAAAAGCATAATCCAGCAAATCCTCACACACCGCCCTAAAGATAACAAGAGGGGCCCGCCCAATCCTCTCACAACACAATTCAGAAGTTAGTGAAAGCATTGGCGTTGGTGCATCTACAAGTCTCAGCTCGGACAATGACCCAAACAAGTCGCCGAAACGGGAATCGAGATCTAAGATTCCCAGCGGAGAAACATCACGGCTCGTAATCCAGCACTAGTAAACAGCTCGCTCCTCGCGGCGTTCCTAGTTGCGGGATTACGAGTTGCTAGTCCCGTGCGGATCTAAGCCGTAAGAGCGCATCTATCGCTGCTCACCTAGGGTTTGCGGTTTGCGGCGACAGATCTCCACACGAGCGCACTGCGCACCCACTTATGGACCACCGTAAGCGCACTGAGAGATAGGAAGGGAGTGAGGGATAGGGAGTTACCGGGTGCGCCCGGTGATGGCCGGAGAGCCGCGCCCGCCGCCGCGGAGAGACACGGAGAAGGGGGTGGGCCGTAGGCGGGTGTGCCGGGTGGGGTGCGGGGGTTCGCGATGCCAGACGAAGAAGAGGAAGGCCTGGAGCGCGACGCTCGCGCGCACGAGCGAGGGAGGGAGATGGGGTGGGTGATGGGTCGGGCCTTGTCGACAGTGGCGCTCCGGCCTGATTGCTCGGTATCTCGCCGGTGGGCCGGCGCTGGCCTGTCGAGGTCCTAATCTAGGGGTGGTTGGTTCTTTACTCCCTCCTAAAATTCATGTCATATCAAATATTTAAATACTAATAAAAAGTATTAAATATAGATTAATTATAAAATCAATTATATAGATGGAAGACTAATTTACAAGATGAATTTTTTAAGCGTAATTAATCAGTTATTAGCATATGTTTACGGTAGCACCACGTTGTCAAATCATGGACTAATTAGGCTTAAAAGATTCGCCTCGTAAATTAGTCACAAGTTGTATAATTAGTTTCGTAATTAGTCTATATTTAATACTCTATGCATGTGTCAAACATTCGATATACCCAAAAATTTTAGGAGCTCATGTAGAAACCAAACAACCCCTTAACCGAAGCTGATTTTTTACACGAGGACATGGTTCCGGCATGTCAGTCCCCGGTGTCTTCTTCCTCTTTCCTTTTCTTCACGTGGGCATGGCCGTAGGTAGAGAGTGCAGCGAGCACGACGCGGCTGGTTCCAGCGGCGCTGGTTGGGCGGCACGCAACGAGGCGGTCGAGCAGGTGCTGCAGATGGCGCGCATGGGCCAGGAGAGTGATCAGCGGCGTGTTCCCATCAGAATTGGACGTCGACATGCGCTGCCCCAGAGGTGACCTTGGCATGTTTGTAGAAATGTCTAAATGGAATAGAGGAAAGAGGAAGAAGATACCATGACTCGCATTACATGTGGGACCCATGGACACGTGTAGAGTAGAGTTAGAACTATGTTGGATGAAACCAGATTCAACTTAGGTTGGAGAGGAAAAACAACTGGTTTTTATGGTTAAAACCATTGCCATATCAAACGAAACTAGTTTCCACTTAGTTTTTTTTTTTAAACTGGTTTCAACTTAGGTTGAGGAGAAAAACAACTGGTTTTGATTGTTGGAGGTACAATGTCTGGTTTCATGGTTTAGGGAGAAAATCTAGGCTCAGCCTATAGTTTAAGGATGTAAAAATATTTTTTTTTCTATCCATTCTAACTCTTATTTTATATACTTTTGCGACCGCCATGTAGCAAGAATAATAAAAAGTTATAAATAGATTTTATGCCAAGGTCAAGGAGAGATGAGTTGTGCACGAGCTTCAAAGCATTTTGTGAAAGAAGTGAGCCATGAATGAATGAATGATGAAATATGTCCCTGTAGCCCGCTACTAAATATATATAGGCTATAAATGTACACATAGCCGACAATGGACTATATTATTATTTATGCTCTCATGAGAGAGTATTTATAAACCAGCAGAGGTGGGAGAGAGGGGTCGCTACATGCTTGGGCTCATAATAGTTTAATTTGTTAACTCTCCGTGTTCACATGGTTTCATGCTAATCTTATGAGGATAAGATCATTAGCACACTTGTGTGTTTTTCTCGGTGTGTGGCATGTATGGTTTGTTGATATCATGTGCTATTGTGTTCCTTATAGATGTCAACGGGCCGTTCCTCGAATCCCCGCGGGGAATTCATCCATTAGGAGACGGGGATGGTATGAATTCTACCCCCACCGGGGATTAAACGGGGCTGAAGTTATCCCCGTCTGAGATCACGGGGGGCGGGGATGGTATGCAGGCCCCCGTCCCCGCTCCCCACGGGGACCCGATTCCAAAGGCCCATATACTGGCAAGGCCAAATACCTGTGATATATAAGCAATGTTGCAACCCTAGCTCCTCACTTCCTCGGTCCCTAACTCGCCCTCTTGCAACCGCCAGCCACCGCTCACCCTTTGTGGCAGAACCCTCCTAATCTAATATCTCTCAGGAGTACTTGTCTTCCATTAGATACTAAGTATTCAAGGGAGGACACCAAATTACGTAGTTCCGTCGGGGACACCCCATGGGAGAACCCAAAATCCACATTTTCCCATTAGGATCACAAATGAGACAATAAAGCTTACAACATTTTAGCCATTTCTTACATCACTTTCTATGCAACATCATAGTATAATATTTATTGTTTATAATAGCGGAATATGATCATGTTATCAGAATTATGAACAATTTAATTTAACAGCATAATATAAACATATGATCAGAGTTACAGTGGGAATAAATATTTATTCATGACATGATGAAGCATTGATATATAAACTTTGACCATAGATTATAAAACTACCATTTATAAAAACCTTTAGTGAGAGTTATAAATAAAGACTATGATCGCAGCGTAAAGGAATCCTCTCTGAGCCCACCAGGAGGAATGCACACACATGGGTTAGCTCTAGCATCCACCTGTCACCTACAACAGGAGAAATAAAACCTTGAATACTCAATTGTACTCAGCAAGACTTATCTGACAGGAGAAAAGAAAAGACTCCAAGGATATGCAAGACTATCTAGCTTGTGGGTTTATTACATCTGTAGGAGCATTACTAAACGTGCGTCCGTTATATTCAATTTTATTAGCAGTCATCATTAGTTCATTAACTAACCCTTCTATGTAAGCACATGTGTTACTTTCAAGTAGGTGGTAAGCAATCAGAATTATTTTACCATCTTTCATCTTCTAGTTCTTACTATGGTGCTAGATTGTAGACAAGTTGTACTGGATCGTCCGACGATTCACGAATCAATGTGCCCAGCTGGGTATCCTAAAACACACGCCCCGCTTGTACTCTAGGCACAAGCAGGACCAACCCACTACCCTCCCACACGGGGTCTAGGTCCCCGTCCAAACTTGGACTCCAAGCCCCCGCTCCTGAGTCCTAGACTCAGTGCGGTGTTTAGACCTCCACCATCCCCGCCTCCGATCAGTCAGTCCGGAAAGATCCGGAACCCATGACAAGAGAGCAATGAGCCTTCCCGCGCCCATATACAAGTATGTGTTCAGGATAATAAGTCTGTGACATGCCTAGAACTCAATGCAACGGCCGGTCCTTAACCGACACAGGTAGAATAAATGCAATCCGAGCCTCGCTCGAATGTTAAACCAAGTTCAGATCCAAAGTACCATTCCGCCCGATCTCCAATTATCATTCATATATATTTCAGGTGATAATAATATAGTAACAACAATAATATATTTCCTATCTCTGGCGAGTGACAGACAATCACTCGACTTCTACCGGAGTCCTATAGCATAGCAATCTACACGATCTTGTCATGCTAGTAAGACTCATAGGATAAAGATATATATATGCAAGTGGGTTTCTTTCAACTCCTTAAAACTTAATGCACAAACATAATATAAAGTGCAGAAAAGTAGGGGTTATGCACCGGGGCTTGCCTGGGTAACATATAACCAAAAGTTAGTAATCCATCTTTGTGACCTAATCCCTGGCACCACCTTTTCAGCTACTCCGTTTGATACCATCGATCCACCATTGTTCCTATTATGATATGTATTGATGCAAATGCAGAGATGGCGCAATCAATCAACAGGCAACAACAACTCTTAAAATATGAGTGCACAATCAAGCTAACAGGCTAACTCTAATGACTAATATATTAGCTAAGTATTAACTTCACTAAACAACGCATCATTTTCATCAACAAGTACTAATTCTTATCAAATCAAGTCTCTTTTAATTTATTAATGATTTAATATACTCGAAAATAGGGCACATTAACTACTCTAGTAAACTAATTATTGTTGGGCTACAAAATTATAGAGAACACCTGATAACACTTCTAACCTACTATAAAAATTTTAGAGCTAACACTATCATCGATTTATCACGGAAATTCCTACAAATTTATGTCTTAACAATATTAAGCATGTTAAAATAATTAGAGCAACCCTAAAAACATACAAAACCTATACGAACAAAATACACTATCAGATAGATCA